TGTGGACTGCAGTCTTCAAGTCATTCCACAGATTTTCAATGGGGTTTAAAGGTGGGGTAAGCGATTTCTGGTAGCCAATGTTGACCCCTACCACAAAAGGGTCTCACCCCTATTTTGATAGCTCCGCCCCATAGATTTTCAACGGTCGCTTTGTCTCGTCCAGTGTACTAGACAGACTTTAGCTGTTGCGGCGCAGACACGGTGTTACTCACCTATCGAGAAGAAACAAAGCAACCTCGGCGTCCAATCGCAGGCCTTCCGCTCCTTGAGTTCTCTCCAGCGCTGGAAAGCTGATCCGATATTTACACGGGTCCTACTTCTTGCCTTATTGCCTTAAGCCTTCTTTTGCTCCGCAGACGTTTTCCTCTTTTGTTTTTTATCCGCCATCTCTATCTTTCTGTCGCTCGGCTCGCTAATGTCCGTCCTGTGCACTGAATGCTCTCTCCTCCACATCATGAGTAGACACGCCCCTTACTGCTGATTGGCTACATGTTTGTTTTGCTAGTCAACCCGAATCAGTTTTCTAAAGCGTTTTTGAAAAATCGCTTACCCCACCTTTAAGGCCCTGTCCACACGAACGCAGTTATTTTTAAAACAGCAGCTTTTTCTATGCGGTTTGGCCGTTCGTCCACACGCAAATGCAGCACCAGTTCACTGAAACTGAACATTTTTTAAAACGTCTGCCAGGGTGAAGATTTTCAATAAATGAAAGATTTTTTTTGGGCTTGTGATGTCAGAGCCTGCGCTGTTATCTCCGCCTACTGGAAACTTTTTCAGGCTTCTGATTGGCCAACATGGCTTTACGGTTGAGATTATATCGCCACCTGTTGGTTTGGCATGCTCTTGACAGTGCTTCATAGCATGCGTTTGCGTTTTCATGTGGACAGAGATTTTTTTTTAAACGGAAGAAGGAAAAACTCAGTTTATGAAAATACCCGTGTACGTGTGGACATGGCCTAAGTCTGGGCTCTGATTAGGCCATGCAAGGACATATTTAAGGACAGATTTTCCTCAAGAATTTGACCGTATTTTGCCACTCATAGTTGATAGTTTGCTTCACTTGCACTACCAAGGACTGAAATGCTCCAGGAAAGCTCCTTTCATGCTGAGCTCATCAAAATGACCACAGCTGATCACAGCTGAATGTCAAATGGCTTTGTGTGAGAAGGTGATTAGCTACACCTGATTGATTTACAAGTCATTTTTAGGAGGGAGGGTGATCCTTTTTCCAAATCAGTGATTTTTATTTTATTTTTATTTTTATTTTTTTTCTGACATGTTGGTGTTATATCTTTCACTTGAATGTTATAAGTTGCACTGAGTAAATACAGTATACAATAAATACAATTTAAATACAATTAACTATTAATAAAACTATATGATTATAATAATATACTGTAAAAATATAATTCACTAAAATATATATTATATATTTATTATATAATTTTTTTTTTTTAAATTGTATTATTTATTATTTCTAGATTTGTGACAGGTTTTTATGAAATTCATGCAAGTAAGACAAAGCATATCCGTTTCAGTCGTACCAGTTTATTACAGTGCCATTTGGAAACTGGTGATTAACATGCATTACCTTGAAATACATAACTGACAATTCTCATGGGAGCATGACCAGAAAATGCTAGCTAGACAAACAGGTAATGAGCAAGTATAGAAGCTGAAATGGCTCATGTAGCTATTCAAATGAGAATGTAAGTCTGTGAATACACGTATATCATTCTAAGTCAATGGGCTGAATCAATAGACTTTCTACACACACCACTGTAAATCAACGCAGAGAAATCACTTTGACACCTCATTGCCTCCGTATTCAGAGAAATAAAAAGGGGGTTTGGACTGATAGCATTTTTAAACATTCGCTCACTAAAAAATAAATCATTTCTAATCAATGACTTAATAACCACAAACAACCTGGATTTTATGTTTCTAAACGAAACATGGCTAGAAGACAGCTGCAGTGCAACGGTCCTCAATGAAACAGCCCCTCCTAACTTTACTTTCATGAGTCATTAGGATCGAGTCAGTTAGAAATACCAAGGGTTCACACAAAACAAGGGGAGTCTGCTTTTAGTTATTATGCCGCCCGCAGTTGGAATCAGCTTCCAGAAGAGATCAGATGTGCTAAAACATTAGTCACATTTAAATGCAGACTCAAAACTCATCTGTTTAGCTGTGCATTTATTGAATGAGCACTGTACGATGTCCGAACTGATTGCACTATATTTTATGTATAATCGTTTTCTATTCTTAACCGTTTTAAATTCATTTTAAACCTCTTAAATACATTTTTTAATCATTTTCAACGTTTTTAAATTACTTGTTTTATTGTTGTGATTATTTTTTTTCTTTTCTTTTATGTAAAGCACTTTGAATTACCATTGTGTATGAAATGTGCTATATAAATAAACTTGACTTGCCTTGCCTTGATAGTGACAGTTTGATGGCTTCGAAAACTGATTTTATCTAATCGGTGATGCAGTAAATGTTTTGAATACCTTTATGAGTTCTCTGAAAGAACCACAGGTAATTCTAGCTCTCAAGACGGCTGAGCTCAACTATTTGCTGTGGTTTGGTATAGATATGTTACCATGACAACTGAGGTTTGCTTGAGCTGAAGAGAAGCCAGATCAAGATCTGTGTCCTGGTTCCCACACTCCCAGAGTGTGCACCATGTCACAAGCATTGGACCCTGCGCTGTTTTCCAAATATTCGCATATATTATATTTACCTCTTAAAAAATACTCAAGTTCCCACAACCACACTCAAGCTAAGTGAGATTTCAACTTTCATGTCAACCATCTTTCTGATCAAATAAACAGCAAGTTGTTTTTGTAAGCGATGTGGGGTTGAACCTCATATTGGCCGAATGGTTAATAGACTTATGGGGAGTTCTGTTCTGTTCTTAACAGATGTGTGTAAATCCAGTGTGTTTCCCCTTGAGCCACACACACGCCATGTGGTGTACTGATCAGGACTGAGGACGCCTACGTGCTAGGAGTGAATTCAATAATCTGCACAAACCCACAGTCCAGGTTAACCAGGCTCTATCTGCACTGGTACAGCATTGTATCATTTATATGTAAATTAGACTTTGATCATTTTTTTTCTGTGAAGGCAGTGCTATTTACCCGGTGCATCCAATGTTGCTCTTTTACAGCCCACAGAATTATTTTGCATATTTTTATTTATTTATTATAAATGATTTGACAGCTAAAACCCATGCATTTCAGTTTGTGCAATAGTAAATTCCCGCTACTAAAAAAAAAACAACAACAACTTTGAATCCATTGATTTTAATGGGAATGGTGTGGCACAGAGGACGTATCCAAGAGTTTACGATCGGTTATACCAGGGATATTCCTGGGACATTCCCAATCTTTTATGGTGGCCCTTTGACCTAAAATATTTGAAGTCCCCCTGAGATTTTAAGTTAATATTTCAATCATTTAAAAATGCATTAGCATATTCTTGATTCTCTGATGTTGGTTAATGGTCACATGACATGCAGGCAAGCAAATAAAATATTAAAAAAAAATTGTTTTTAAATGTACTCAACCTCAGGCCACCCAAGATTTAGATTAAATTGTTTCTTCATTGTAATTGATTTGGAGAAATTTAGCATTACATCACTTGTTCAAATCCATCAATGATGGATTTGCTTCTTACAAACACACAGTATTATGCTTCACAAGATTTTAACATATGGACAGGAGTGGTGTGGATTACTTATGGATTATTGTGATGTTTTTATCGGCTGTTTGGACTCTCATTCTAACAGCACCCATTCACTGCAGAGCATCCATTAGTGAGCAAGTGATGTAATGCTGAATTTCTTTAAACTTGTCCTGATGAAGAAACAAACTCATGTACACCTTGAATAGCCTGAGGATGAGTACATTTTTAGTAGATTTTCTTTTTTGGGTGAACTACTCCTTTAATCTTTTTAGTAAGGGTTTAATTTTATTTTAAAATTAGTAATGTATTTTAATTTTACATTTTTATGATTTAATTAATTATTAGTTTTTCACTCACTGCAGTTCCTTCATAAACCTCGAGTTTGGGAAAACCCTTGTTATGCTGACCAAATGTTGAGAAACTTGTTGCTGCAACACATGCAGATGTACGTAGGCATCCGTACACCAATAAAAAAGTGAGTGGAGTTGTGCTTGATTTCAAACTGGAATGGTTTGACAACCTCAAACATGTTAGACATTCCTGTCCATCAGTGATTACTCCAGCGTGTAGGTGGACCAAGGTTAGCCAGTTTAGGTCAATTGCTGGTCATGGTGGAGCAGCAGTTTGAAGAAAATCTTGCTAAGCAAGTTAGTTAAAGTTTGCTAACTGTCAACATATTTAGGAACTAGTAACCTGAATAAAAACACATGGCAAGGAAACTTCCTGTGGTTTATCACAGCACTGTAATGCATTAAATATATACAAGTTGTGCAAGCAATGCACTAGACAAGCATTTGAGTGGTTGCATACTTATTTATGGCCTGAGGGAGAGTATGCATGCTTTATTTCTTTCTTTATGAAGACACATGGATCCTGAGCAGGTTTGGGCAAAATACAGAATTGCAGATTTGGCGCCCTTTGAGTTCATGAGATGGAATATGATTTTTTTTTTTTCAAACCTGTTAAGCCAACTCATAGATTTTGTCTTAGACAAACATTGCTTTTCTAGTTAAAAATATTCAGTCATGGGTATGATTTTTTGTATTTATTTTAATTCTACTTCCTTACATTCAAATCCAAAATGCAGTTTGCATTCTGTTAGCTTTCTTAATTCAACTGAATTGGAATTTAAAGTCACACACAATCCTACTTCAGATTGTGATCCTTCTCGCTGTGCATTAGGACAGATATGATGTGAATAGAATGTTACATTTAACAGACAATTTCATGACAAAATGACATGCATAGACAACACCAGTAATAATGAGTCACATTATTTCACAAGTACATTCAAGAGCCTCAAAGGCACCGAAAAACAAGTATCTTGACACAAAGAATAGGTCTGTAACTACTGAACGGCGCCATGCATGTCGTCATGCTTATATGCTTATACTAATTATGTACAATTATGTACAATCGGAATCTCTCACATGAAAGAAATGACTGATTACCACTGAACCATGTCAGTCGACATACGTATGAAGACACATATATGTCATTGACTTACTGTTGTATAGACATAAATCAAAGCACAATAAATATGTTGATAATATAAATACAAGCAGACAGCATGTAACATTTGAAGAACTCCTTGACTTGAAATGCAGGAAACCTCGTCACATGATTCACTTGACAACAAAGTGTCCAAAGTGAAATACTGCTTGGACATGCCATTTGACCTGTTTGAAAGCACAACCCCCCCCTAAAAAGGAAACCTGGATTAGCAATGACTGCGGAACGGTAGCTTCAGGATGGTTCCTCTGTCTTCAGTCATTCCAAACACAGAATATCATCTTCAAAACTGGACTATCCTCCATGACTGAACGCCCACTCAACATGCCTTGAACATTTTTCAAGTTCTTCTGGCAATCGCAGTTGACAGGGCCCTCGGTCTCAAAACAATTAATGTCGTAGTTGAGGGAACATAACTTACCCCTTTGACCTCACAGTTGGCTTTATCTCACTCAGTTAAATGACCTAAGGGGGTTTCTAAATCAATTTTTAGATCAACAAACAAACCAGATCGCCCTTACTTATGGCAGACAAATCACTTAAGATGTTCTTAGATAGACAGAACGATAGAATAGAATGGGATAGATAGATAGATAGATAGATAGATAGATAGATAGACAGACAGACTGGGAATGCTATCAAAGAACTTATTCAAAACCTTGCCTTCCGAAGCATATTGATTTTTAGATGGATCCGTCTAGTCCATAAATACTGTCCACATCACGTCAGATCTTCTGAACGGTTGACTTGTTGAGGTGTGTGGTCTCCACAGAGGTGGAAGTGGGTTGGTACAGCTCGATTTGGCCTGCTGGGTTTTTGGTAATGGACGTTTTGAACAGGGAGTTTCTGGAGGGCACGAAGCTGGTCTTGCACAGCGCCCCCCACAGGAAGCGCAAAACCGAGGGGCTGAGGATGATGAACACCCAGGGGTCGATGATGGAGTTGACCGAGAGGAACCGCAAAGCTATGAGATCAGTCTTGTTGCTGCCTCTAGGCTTTCCCATGGAGTTGATGTACACACGAATCTAGAGAGAAGAAGAAGGTAATTCAGAAGTGTCATCCATCCTTAACCACACATGGCACTTTGTCAGATGATGCTGTCATAGGCAATGATTTTTCTGAGCACAGCACTGTGAGATTTGCCAAAGAAACCATTTCAATATATTTCAATAAATCATATCAAATTTCAAGCAGGAAAAATGGATATTTATTTTTCAGCAAAAATATCAACAAATACAGATCTGATTTCTGCTCAATGTAGACATAATAAGTTCACTCTAATAGGATGCATAGATAGATAGATAGTTCACTCTAATAGGATAGATAGATAGATAGATAGATAGATAGATAGATAGATAGCAAATTTTAAATGTCTTTAAAATGCTACTTCTTATATGAAAAAATAAACGACTAATTATTTATTAATAATTAGTCATAGTTTCTGTGTATCACAAATAAGCAGCATGTAAAATCATCATTTACAGTACATGTTGTGTAAAGCTGCTAGCACTAACTATAATGAAATCATTGTGGTGAGATATGTGGAGCCTCTGTATACACTCTCTGGTCCAAAGTATAGTTTTGCATTTATGATTTTAATAATTAATGTCCTTTTCCACATCCCACAAATCATATCTAATCGGTTAAGTGAGAAACCATTATAATTGTTGACATGCTTATAAGACTCAGAGCTCATTTATCAATATTAATGACAGCGACGTGGTTGTGCATGAGACTTAACAGTCATTTCTCACATTGATTCCAATTTAAGGAGCTTTTGCTTTTACTAAGATTTCAGCTATAACTGAACTGAGACAATTATGTGGGCACATAAGATTTTGGGTGTGTATGAGCAACTCAAAAACATAAACAAGAGTAACCACGGCACAGTCTGACAAAACCTGGGTTTGCGCTTTCTGTCACCCATGCAACCAGTAATATATATATAATCCACTCTCTAGATGTCTTCATCTTGGACTTCCCATCAATGAGTCATAATGTCATTTTAAAAACTTTGGATCATTTCAGTTTATTCTCATAAAAATAACAGATGCATAACAGAGCAGAAATGATTCATGTTATTCCTATTTTCCTAAGTTTGTTTACTTCTGGTCATAGTATTTTATGACAAAAGCCTTTGTTTTGTCTTATTCTTTTACCACACACAAAAATGCATTTTGACTAATTCTGACCATTTTTTTTTATTAATAGTGTTGTTTGGTCAGGAGAATTGTTTTTGCAGACCGTCAAGTATGATGAATGTATTACGAAATTCTCATGCACTGCATTTCATCAAACTGGAAAGCTAATGTGTGATTATCTTTTTGCATGTTCAAATATTTTTTCCTCTCCCATTTTAGTATGCAGAGACCACTGTAAGCTGTAGACTACAATCAAACAGTTGTTTGTGTAAGCGTACAGATTGACGCAAACAAACTTATTTTTTTTAGGCGTTTAGTCAAGTTTATCAGTGCAAATATACATAAAAAACAAATAAATAAATTTATATTTTTCTCACATAGCATCAAATCCTAAGGAAGTTATTATGAAATCTGATTGTTCTGATTTTGCGTAACCTTTCACCAGACTGGAGCTGTCCATCATTGTATTTACCTACTAACCCGTACCACAAATTTAGTCAGTGGGCTGCTGGGATGTGAAATTATATTACTTGTAATTTATGCTGAAATTTAATTGTCCTTAATAAACTCAATTCAAACCAGTGAATCAGCAATAGGTTTGCAATGAGCTCTGAGTCATAAGGAGCCACAAACAATATACTGTAATACTTTAATGTCTTTTCACCTACTGTTAATTATCATTTGTACATAATTAATGTGGGTAGCATTGTTCCAGATCTCTGAAGGGTGAGTGAGGGGTGTTTGAGTCTGGTTTCAGCTAAAACAATATCAGTCTGTCAGCACCAAGAGTGTTTGTGTGTGACAAGACAACCACAGCCTAATTGCTTTTCACAAGAATTTAATAAAACACTCGAAGAAAAATACACTCCAGCTATCTAAATCTCACACTGAAACTTATTGTTGTTCCAGAAGCTGGGAGATGAAATGATTATGGAAACATGTCATGTGCCACCAAGATCTTGGGTTTGTTCCATAGAAACACTAGATCTCAGTGAGCTGTAGTGTCATTTTCAAAATGCTAAATGCTTTCATACACTGATAATGTTGTTTCTGTGGCAATTTATATTATACCAGCTTCTCCAAGACGGGTCAAATCCTTTTAATTTGTATAACCATTCCACTCTGTCAGTGAACATGGAAATAAATATGTGGTTACTTAGAAACCATAACATCCACATGCCCAGTGACATCCATGATGTTGTTTGATTTACTTTGTCCAATTCTAACCAGCTGGTTGTATCCTGTTATTTTAACAGGCTCAAGCAGCAAACAATGCAAGAAGAGAGATTT